CTTCGAGGAGATCATCGGGCAGTGTAAGTGGGCCGCGGTGGCGCGGCCGAGGCCGAGAGGCGCTTTCCTTTCCCCCACCTGCTTGGAAAGTGGGGGAAAAAAAAGGTGGTAAAGGGCCCCCGAGGCCTCGGTTGTGTCGTTATGAGAAGACTGGTTGGGAGATGTTTGTTAAAACAGAAAAGTTGGCGTTTCTACCCTATTGTAGAGAGTAAGCAGCTGCTTCGCTCAGTTCCCTCACAGGCTAAACGGAGTTTGTGCTGTGGACAGTGTTTGAATCCCTAAATTGTCTGCACAATTCCTGCTCAGATGTTTGTGGAACTGAGAACAGTAGTGCTATTGACCATGTTCACAGTCTTTTGTAAAATTCGGAGCTATTCGTCTTCCAGTGTTTTCTATCCATCTTTTACTTGCCCATCCCTCCTGCCTCAGCTGTGACAGGAGCGAATGGAGGTGGGGGTCACTAAGGGCTACTGGCTCACACACTGAGGTGCTGTATGCTATGGGGAAGGGGGTAGCAAACAAACCTCACAGGACTGTGCAGTGTTTGGTATGACTAGTTCTCTGGCAGATCTGCTTTCCTTGTTGCTATCAGTTGAGGGACTATAAAGAGATTGAACTTTAAACGTCTGTTTTAGCAGATATCAACATTTGAGGAGCCTCTATTAAACTTTAATAAGACCAGCCCCACACAGCATCTGCATTAATGAGGAATTTTTGGAGTTGTAGATGAATACTGCCTTAGCCTCCTTGCATCAAAGAGGAGTGTACACTAATGTGGTGGAGGCTTACTAATGTTTGGTTGTGCCAGAGTAATTAAAGATACTAGATATTAGCTGGTAGAAGAAGAGGGTAGGAATCTGGGTTTGCTTTTTTGTTATCTTCTTAATTATACTTTCTGCCCTTTCAGATAACAAGCTACTAGAGAAGTCAGACCTTCATGCAGTGCTGGCTGATAAGCTTCAAGCAGAAAAATATGACATGCAAAGCAGACATGAGATCAGGTATTTAAAATTATTTTTCTGTCAGCTAACTCTGTCATGCACGCTGTAACCTAAACCATTGTTTGATGCATTGAACAAACGACTTCTACGTTGCTACAGTGACTTGGAATAAAACAAACTGGTAAATCTGTTGAACTAAAAGTAAATTATAACTAACTCTAAATACGTGATAAAGTTACAGTGTGCTTACAATATACAATGCAGAAAGATCGGCCTGAGTTTTGGACAGAAACTAATTTATCACAAACTCAAGGTCTGGAGGTGGACCAGAATGAGCTTCTGATCTGCTTGCCTTGTAGCAGTTATAGTGTTTGCCTGGTGTTAGTTCCTAATCATTGTGATCAGACTTTTGAAATTGTCTGATCTTATAAGCATTGCAGTGCAGGGAGAGACTGATGTCTTAGTTTCTTTCAATCTATGTTATCCCATAGAATAGGGAGGATGGAGAAAATCATGATTGTGAAGTGTCTGTCCTAAATAAGCACCATATGTTAAGAAGAATCTGTCTTCTGCCTGCTTTTAGCAGGGTTTTTTCAGGAAACTTGCTCTTTAACCTGGGAATAGCACTGTAGCGCTGCAAGCTGCTTATTCTGTTGGCATTTGAATCCACAACACACCAATATGCTGGTAATGTGTCCTTTGTCTGGACAGCATGTAAATCCCAGCATGTACAGCCTGTTGGGTTCTGCTCTTGGTCTAACTGAAGAAAAGACGGCATTAAGTAGCTCAGAATTTCCTGTTTCTGTAGGAGTTGCTTCCTCTGTTGAAGCTCTTTTTGCTATATAATGCAAAACTGTATGTGTAAGAAGAACTCCTGGTTTTGTAGGAATGGTAGGCAAAATGTCAGCATTTGGCCAGCAGACTGAAGTTACCACCTGTGTGAAAGTTCTCAAAAGCTTTTGATGACTGCAGTTGTCTTGAACCATCTTTATTTTATGGGAATCTGGTTGAACACCTACTCCAAGAGATGAGGCTGGAATAGACAAGGATGAGAAGAAATGCACAGAAACAGCATCTTTAAAGTAAATGCTAAGCAGAACTCTGATGCTGTCCTCAGTATATCACAGTGTTTTGAAACGGAATGAATTCCCTAAACCTAGACAGCTGAGGAAAAATGCTTTTACTTAATTGAAATTTTACTTTATTTGAAATTATTATTTTTAAAAGCTGTAACTTATAATATAGCTGCTAGCTTCCTTGAAGGATTTGTGTGATATGTGTATGCTTTTTAAAAACTGATTTCTTCCAGCATTTGGAGAGTGTACTTTTAAGACTCAATTGCCTTCATGCAAATTTAAGCAAAGGCTTGTGGTCTTTCATTTGAGTTCAAATTCTGTTTTAGAAATGTAGAAAAAGGTGCCTCGAGTCCTCAATAAATTTCATTTTCCAGTTCTGTTATAATGGTATTTTGATTGGCAAGAAGTGTGTTGTGAGGGAGCTAGCTATGGTTTAGTTTGCTATGAATGAATGACCTGTATTTCTGATGTAGTACAGAAAATCCAAGTGAGTTTGTCCTGAGACGTAACTGGTCAAAGGCACAGGAGCAACTGGATTCTAGTTTGTGACATCTCTTCTTCCTCTCTCTCAAACTCCAGTCCAGGGCATGATGGCACATGGAATGATGCGCAGTTGCAGGAACTGGCGCAGCTGAAGATAAAGCATCAAGAGGAGCTGACAGAGCTGCATAAGAAACGTGGCGAGGTTAGAAAGTCCTTTCCTGTTCTGTATGGTCCATACATAGCCCTTTGTGAATGTGACCTTAGTTTTACCAAGCTTATTCATCATCATTTTTTCCTCATTTCATGTACAGCCTTTTTAAGCTCCCCATGTTGATGACTAAAATAAACCAGAGGTGATCAGTCTTTCAAACTGACAGCCAGGAAATAAGAACTGAAGTTGTCAGCATAGCATGATTTTTAAGAAGTACTTAATTTTGTTTCATGAATAGGTTTTTAAACTGTATTTATTAGAGGAGGAAGGAACTGATCCAGTTTATAGAGCTGCGCTTGACCACTAGTTCTACATTGGAAATATTTTTGAATGAGCAGAGATCAGGTGGCTGTGTGTGATTCCATTTGGCTCTCACTTTGCAGGACCACTGCTAGATAAGAATGGATAAAAATAAACAAGTACAAGCAAAGGTTGAAAGTGCTGTGGTGTTAGACTGAAAAGGGAGTACTGATTTTGCCAGGTCGATGCAGTAGGGACCCCAGAAGTCCTACTAGTTGTGAGAGGTGGGCCTGGAAGAGAGGAAAATCCACTATCTTTTTTTTTTTTTTTTTTTTTTTCCTGATGGGAGGATGTGGATGCTTCATCAGCAGAATTGGATTTTTAAAAAGCACAGCAGTGGATTGAATGAGTCCAGGAAGTGATACCTGAATGGTACTGCAGACTTTTATAGGGAGAAGGTGGGAGTGACCTGGAAAAAGTTATCATGCTCCTTTGATCATACCTCAGTGGAGTTGTGGAGAAGCTCCAGTGTCAGTAATTTTGAGCTTTTCAAAGAGCAGACAATTGTCTACATGAGGTGTGCACTGACTAGTCAAAGCAGTGGAAATTCCTTCTTTTTCTGCAACCTGGTATCCTAAGCTGTCTACCCAGGCAGGCGCTCTTCTCAAAACTCAGTCTTCCTTCTCCATGGGCAGCCAAGGCTTTGCTCGCTGTGGGGCTTGTTGCTGCTCACTGGCTGGCAGCTCTGAGCTGGCAGCAGCAGCTCATTAGCGTTGGCCTCTACCCCTCTATTTCCTGTGCGCTGCAGAGACTCCACCAGCACCTTTCTTTCTGGGAAAACTTTGTGAAACCTGTGTTTACAATATGTAAGCTACACGTCTCCTGTAATGGCTGTCCTGGCTGTAGCAGGAAGATTTGTTGCTTGATTGTTAGCACTCGTGTTGGTTTACTTACTTGTCAGTTTTTAGTTTCTGTATTGATTTTTCCACAACTTAAAAAAAATAAAATTTCTTCATAATATGAATTCTGTTTGATGTGACTATATTCAAGAAACTCTTTGAGGGAAGGGAGTGAGATATCAAAGGACAATGACTTTTTGACGACTTGTGCTTGAAAGTAGATTCCCTGATTTAATGACCTGTGTGATAGGGGCAGTAAACAGATCTGTATAGAAAGCTGTGAAAGAAGACCTGAAAGGTATGCTTCCTGCTTGTGATGTGAGGTTGGTCTGTACTCTTCCTGGTTGCTGCTAAGTATGTGTTATCCAGCTGGCATCCCTGCATTTTGTAATATCATTTTCTTCTCTCCCTAGTTGGCCCAGTCTGTAATTGATCTGAATAACCAAATGCAGCAGAAGGACAAAGAGATGCAGATGAATGAAGCAAAGTGAGTAGGAACTGTTTTGTCTGTCTGGTTGGTACGTGACCCAGACTCTTGGTTGAGTTATTTATTAGTGTTTCAATATTCTGAGTCCTGGCCACGGGCTAAAAATTGCTTTGTTAGGCATTGTACAAATACCACAGTGGTGGATGGTATAGGTCCCAAAGGAGATCCTCATTGTTTTGTATATTTTGTTGCCATTCCAGGATTGCAGAGTATTTGCAAAAGATCTCTGAACTGGAAACAGAGTGTCAGGAATTGCGTAGCAAACTGCAAGATCTTGAGCGAGCTAATCAGACACTGAAAGATGAATATGATGCTCTCCAGATCACCTTCAATGCCTTGGAGGAAAAACTGAGGAAAACTACTGAAGACAACCAGGAGCTGGTCTCACGTTGGATGGCAGAGAAAGCACAAGAAGCCAATCGTTTGAATGCAGAAAATGAAAAGGATTCAAGGTGAGGTTGATGACCTCTATTTGATAAACTACTTCCGAATGTATTTTGAATACTTATGAATGCATAGGATAAAACCAGATTTAGTTTTGATCTCTGTGATCTCTATATTCTTGCACAACACAATGAGAGTCCAGGACTTCGTATTCGTCCTTTTGGGCAACGCAGATGGGTGCTTTGTGAAAACATTTCTGTCTTTTAAATTAATAAAACATGTTCTTTTTGTTTCTTGAGCAACACTTAACTATGGCCTAAAGATTACAAATCAGATAGAAACTGTTGGTTTAGTGGTTTGTTTTTTTCTGGTATTAGATTTGAACTTCTCATGTTTATATTGCATCTCGATACTACTAGTTTTATCCTTTTTTTTTTTTGACTTAACCAGTTTAAGTATATTTTGCATTCTACTAAAAGGAGAAGCTGCCACGAGACTAAACTATGTAAAACTTGCAAAAATAAGTTTGTACTTTTTTTTCCTTGCAAAATAATAATTTTTCTTCTGAATTGCTTCAGCTTGCTTGCCAACTAACAATACTTGGAGACAGAGAGCTATAAGACAAATCTCATAGTACTTGGCAGTTTTGTATTATCTTTACTAATTTAACTATTTTTGCAAGTTCTCGTACTCTGAGGAACTCCACGTTCATATGGGTCTTGAAGGGGTGTAGGTACACTTGAAGGGGTGTAGGTACACTTTGCCTTATTGCCTCACTCAGTTGATCTTTGCTATTCACAGTAAGAAAACTGCCTCTCCTACACTGAGTATCTGGAAAAACAGGATAAAATTAGGGCGGTGGTCTGATTTTTATTTATTTATAAATATTATGAAGCTCAACTAAATAGTGCAGGGTAACCTTTGGAATGGGATTAAGGAAGTTTTTTTTTAAAATAACCTTGTTTTCCTTTTCTTAGGAGACGACAAGCCAGGCTGCAAAAGGAGCTAGCAGAAGCTGCCAAAGAACCTCTGCCTGTTGAACCGTAAGCATTCTTGATTTACAGACTCTCTTTTATCACTTCATGCTTCAGTTTTATGCAGATACATGATAAATGGTATCTTTGTTATTTCTGAATTTGGTGATGTAGAGGAGTGTTTAAACTTTGGTGTAAAGTCAAAAATGTACAGTAAGTCTCCCTACTTGAACTTCCAGAAGAAGGAGCTCTGTTATGACTAAAAATAGATTCTTAAGCCGAAAGTCCCAAGAATCGTTCATACAGTGAATATATATTCTTATCTCAGTATAAAAGCATTTGTTATGTGGTGCCTTTGGTCTTTAAAATAGTTTTTTAATCATGGAGCAATATACTCTTGAGATGCCTATGTTTTTAAGTGTTAGGCTACAAATAGCTAGGATCAAGGATTTCCTGTAGGAACAGGTACTGAGTGAGTTAAGGTGGGTGAAAGTATATTGATCACTTCCATACTGGGAAAGGTTTATTCTGTAGGAAAAATAGATAGATGTGGAGTTATTTATCTCTGGCTTGCCAGAGATAAATATTTCTAGTCCCTTGTTCTTTTCAGCAGCAGCACATGGATATTGGCTGCTATGTTTACTCCTGGGTGGTATTTAATCAGCTGAGTGAAGTGGGCAGTTGATGGTATAGGTGCTTTGCACCAGGTTGATGAGGTTATTAGCACTTGTGTTAGCCAAATTCAGAAAAACTACACCTGCTGCATTGTCAGTGGAAACAGCTGAGGCAGTGCCAGAGCAGTGTGCAGGCTTTTTCTTGATATCTATTATCTTTGCGTTAGCATCACGTAATCACGTTAGGTCTCTGTGCCGCCTGTCCTTGCACATGGTAGGAGCAAGGAACCTGCTCTGGAAGAGGGCCCATGCAAAAGTCTGGGGTAGGTAGGAAGAGCACATGTAAGGGGAATATGAGAGAGCTTGTAGCATTTGGAAGGAAAACTCAAACTGCAATTAACAGTACAACTAGTTAGCATAACTTGCTTTGCCTTTTTTTTTTAAGATGTGTTTAAATGCTTCCATTCCGTTAACTTATTGAGGCGTAACTCTCCATCATAAGATGGAGCTGCTGACCTCTGTCACAGGCCAGTGGACAGTCCCAAGCCAGAGGACAGTCTTCCCAGCTCGTAAGAATAGTGATCTCCCTTTTGTCCATGTTATTCGGTGTGCATTAACATCAAATATCTTAGAATATTAAACTCTTCAATAAATAATGTTGCACTGAGAGGGGAAACACACAAATGTAATGTGTGCAGCCACTTTCCCCATTAAGCTGCTGCTTCTCCATTGCCCAAAGCAAGACCTTGCTATCTGACAGCTGAGCTCAGAGGTAGCTGTAGCACAACAGCTTGAATATTTTACCTCCTGTGGTGGGGATGATGGTCTCAGTGTTTCATAAATAATTGGATATGAGACATTGAGAAGTTAAGCCTGCTTAAAAAAAAATCTAGAAAATAATTGCTTCTGTAAATTACTGAAACTCTGCTTCACAGATGTTTTTTATTCCTTTTTTATTTTATAATTTCAGTGTTTGTATTGTATAAATGTGCTGCTTACTGAAGGGGAAAACTGTGTCATTTCAAGGAGTATGCCCTGGTGTTTATATTTGCTTCAAAAATAGACTAAGTTAACACAGAAAGCTTTTTTGCTACATAAAGTTTTAGTAGTTCAAACTTTAGATTTTAAAAAAGAAATATCAGGTGAACTTGATAGTGTTTTATTGAAATATCAGCCTGATACTTTCAATCAGTATATATTTTCCATAGCCTTTTCATATATACTGTCCTCCAAAATCTTAGAACTTAAAGTGCAGCTACATTCTGAAATGAGAGATTAAAAATGATCCCATTTTCTTCAATGCTTATGCAGCTGAATGTTATCTGATGGCAGGAATTGTTTTATTTCTACTTAAATGTTGAATTTAAACTTCCTGTTCAGTCAAATGGCATCAGGTTAATAGTGTGTTTAAAAATAGTTTGTCCTGTAAAATCAGCAGTGGAGGAAAAATCATCATTGGAGGAAAAAATATTAGGCTGTTAGAGCTTGTGATGACTAATGGGGAAAAAATCCTTTTAGTGTTAGCTGAATAGTTTAGCTCGATTAATTTATGGTATATGCATTGGAACCTCACACTTCTGTTTAGTTGTACATAAATGCTTTAATGAAGTGTACCAGAACATCTCTCGTACTGAATGGAGCACCACCTGAAGTACAACAGTGTAGAAAGTATCCGGGTATCTTTGGTGTGGATGAAAAAGGGAAATTCAAACTCTTGTGCTTTTTAAAAAATACTTCCTAGTTTTGGAACAGCAAAAAAAAGGTGCTGTGAAAACAGGATATCACCTATATTTGGAATTGTAATAACTCATGTTTTTGCTGTTCTGTGACTGTTCCAGCAAATATAGTTCACTCTGCAGCAAAGTCTTGCTCAGATGTGATAGGTCCTCATAGTGCTGTATGTAGTGCTGCAAGCTGAAATATAATACCTGTAGTAAAGAGAATCTGGAAAGGGTGTCCATCAACATAAATGTGGGGTGAGGAGGGAAATTCAACCCTGTAGTCAGTGAAGAATGTAATTGTTAACTGGAAAGAAAAAAATGAAGTTTAGATGCTGCATGTATTTGTTTTCAGACATTGTATGTTGAATGTAGTATCTCTGGCAGTGACAGCTAGATCAATGTTTGCGGTGTCTGGATCTACCTACGTGTTACCACAGCTAAGTAAACCTAGATGCAGTTTGGGCGCAGACATTGGCAGACCCTGGAACAATGTTGTCCGTTCAGTTCATATACATCAGTGGGTCTTTTCTGTAGGAAGTCCTGGCTGATTGAAAACAAGATGTTTTCTCTCACTTCAGCAGGGATGATGATATTGAAGTGCTTGCAGATGAAACCTCTGACACAGCTGAGGAGACATCTCCAGTGCGAGCTGTCAGCCGAACTTCCAGGTTTGTAGACTGAGAGATTTTTGTATCGTGTCATTGAGGAAGAACAAGGGATGTAAGAGTTGGAACAATGCTGGGAGTGTTACTTACAGTTTTTACTTGCCTTTAGCTGGAATACAGTTTAGTACTTCCACCAGAGCAGTATGAAACTCATGTGCTGTGTTCTCCATTACCATGCTCTAGATATGCTGTTTTTCCTTTGCTGTTTTAAATTAAACTGGTGTCTGAAGAATCTGTCTAATCTTAAAAACAAAGGTTTAAAGGCAAAATAGACAATAAAATGAGTATTTCAGTGCCTGTTGTATTATATCTCTCTTACTAAACAAGATATCAATGTGACTTTACAAATAGCAGCATTTTTTGATTTAGCTGAAATGCTGAAAATATCTTCACCAGATTAAATGCATCTTTTTCTTCCTCTAAAATAGCAGTGAGTGGAAAGTAAGAGATAGTTACATGAGAGCGTGGATTAATTTGGTTGAAGCTTCAGACTTGGCAGACTGTTATATCTAAAACAAGTAATTCACAGGGTGGGGGTTGAGGGAAATTGAAGAAACTTGACTCACAAATTATGTTCTGAGTTGTAGTTACTGGTGAGTTTTGAACTGATGCCTGCCTCTGGTGTTTTCTGTCTTCTGAGTGGGTCTGCAGGGGAGGGAGTCTTTCCAGAGATTTGTTGCTATGAAATGTGTTTGTATTGATCTTTATGTGGAGAAGCTATTCACAAGGTTTAAACCTGTCCTCCCCTCCTTCAGTAAGCGACTCTCCCAGCCAGCTGGAGGCCTTCTGGACTCTATCACTAATATCTTTGGGTAGGTTAGAACACTTTCACCTCTTTGTTTTGCATATTGTTTCAATGTACACCAAAATCTTGGTGATGCGGGGAATACAAACAAATAATTTCAGTCTTTCTTCTAGCTTCTGCCTTTCTTTTTTTTCTTTTTTGTTCTCCTCAACTTCCTGTTTCTTCCATCTTGCCGTGTGCTGACCTCTGACCTTTCCCTCCAGTCTGTCTGAGTCTCCCCTTTTGGGACATCAATCTTCTGATGCTGCCAGGTGAAAACATTATCTGCTGTTAGTCCGGCATGTGAATGTATTCCATTGAAGTAACATGGAACCCAGCTGCATTATCCTGATTAGATTTCAAATGTTGAGAACACTGGCTAGAAACTGCCTACAGTTAGAGAGGCAATGAGCCCCTCTTTGTGAAGGGAATACATGGGGCTTGCTCTTACTTTCCACTGCACTTTGCTCCTTTAATAGGGTTATTTAAACTAAGTCATTGGGTTCTGTGCTTAGTATCCAGAGTGGAGCCAGTCCAAGTCAAGATCTGCATTAGGTGGATGGTCTTTGCTTAAGTGGTGCAGCTTGTGCTTTTGAATGGAGCATTTTTGTGCCTGGGATGTAGTGCTGCAATAGTGCTGAGTCTCCCTAGACATAATGATGGAGTTGCAGTCTCTCCACTGAACTCAGCTGCAGTCGTTCCCATGTTTCTCCTTCCTATTTGGGGGGGAAAAAAAAAGGCTGCTCCAAAATGAGGTCAGTAGAGGTCAGTGATCAGTTCAGGTAACTTATCTGGCATGCTATGAAATACCTGAAGCCACAAACGGACATAGTTTTATATGACAAACATTTTTTTTTAAGATGGGATAAAAGAAAGTTTAAAAACACTTCTCCTATTTTTTTTAATCACTGTACAGTGTAGTTGAGTGACAGGTACAGATCTGGATGAACTCAAGAGAAACAGTGTTCACTTCTCATTTTAAAATATTTCTACTTTGTTTCATCTCAGGAGGCGTTCTTTGTCCTCGTTCCCTGCTCCCCAGGATAATGTAGAGCCACATCCAGGTGCCAGTAAAGAAGTGAGAGTGCCCACTACTGCCATATGTGTCTTCGTAAGTATAGAAGGGTTTCTTGGTTTTACCGTTGCTTTTACTGTCTTTGGAGGAAGTAAATCCTGTCTGTGTGGGAACCAACCTCCTGAAACTTTCTGTTAACAATGCCAAAGAAGAAGAAATTCTTGCTTTGGTAGCATAGTTCATCATATTTAATTCTTAGCCCAAATACTTCTCATAGCCAATGTGCTTGATGTTTGTCTTACTGAGGTCAATGATGACTAGTAAAAGGTCTGAGGGCACAGGGGAATTACACTCCATTACCCTCTTGGCTCCCAGCAGTCCCTGTTCTGTCATGCCATAGTGGAGCTATGATTGAGGAAGAGATTGCTGACAGTTTGAGATTAATTCAGTGCCAGTTCTCCACAGTGAAGGGGGTTGTGGCACTGAATGTCATCCAACAGAACTGATTAAGAGGAGCTCGTGGTAGTGGGGTGTCTTCAATATTGTGTGTGATCTAAAGTTTTCAAGCTGAGACCTCCTTTATGTGGTGTTTTGGCCTCACAAGGCCAAACTTAAATTTCTGTGAAGGGCATTGCCTTTTGAATGAAAGATATTGTGGTAAATTGTCTTGTAACATGGCTACTTGTTTGAACATTCCTCTTGAGCTTTCTCAGGCACTCCAGTGCTGGATGTGGATATTTCATGGATATGAAATGACTTTTTTTTTTATCCAGAGTAACAGAGCAGCTCACTGCAGCATGGGGGCTTTTGTTTCCTAGTCTGCCCTGTTACCATCTTCTCTAGTGGAAGTCACGGGGTAGAGGGAGTAGCAATGTTACCTTAAGTGAGAACAGGGTCATAACTTAAGGGCCAGCCTGGATCTGGCTTGAACAGGGAGCATCAGAGGGGAGGTATTTGTGGCTGTGGTATGTGTTGCAACCTCTCTCTTCCTCTGGCTATGTACAGCAAGCACAGTTGATCAACAGATACAATCCTGGCTAATTTCATCATAAAAAGGTATTGCAAAGTTACATATGTGAGGTTTTCAAGAACCATGTGAGAGGTTATGTTGTTTTCACCTTTCTCTTGATCTGTAATGTCATCTGAACTTCCAGGACCAGTGCGGCCTGTCCCCCCCAATATGGAGGGCTGAACAGCAATAGACTGTGCTGACCCCTAGTCTTGGCAACGTAGGGAATGCTGCCCTGTTCCAGTTCCCCATCTTGCAGCAGGGGTAGGACCAGCTGCGGTAGTAAGCCTGTCAGACTGCAGCAGTATGGAGGTGATGTGTGGCTAGCACTACAGTATGAGAAGGAAGAAGTCCCTACTCATTTCGTGGGAATGCATATGTCCCTTCTAGAGGTGATCTGCGTTAGGTTTTAGCTCCTGTGTTTGCAGCCTGGATGGAGTGTGAGGACATGTCTAGGTCCTGCCGAGCATTCCAGGAATGAATGCAGGGACTCTGTGCCAGGGGTTTGGCAGATTTGGGGAGCAGACTGGGCTCACTTCTGGAGAGATGAGTAGAACAGACTTGGGAAGGCAGAGAAGGTAGTCACTTCAGTTACCATTCTCGGGTGTAGTTTCTAGGTGAGACCTTTATTTTGTTCTGAATGGCTCTTCTGCACTTGCAGAAAGATCAGATATGAAGGGTGGTGACTCCTAACTATGAGCTGGTAGACCAAGTTCGAGCAACAAGTTCCAGAAAAGTACAAGTTTCCAGAAAAATTGATTTTTAAAAGAGCAGTTATTGAAGATACTTAAAAAGTAAATGCAGCAAATGAATTAAGAATGTTGTACTAATACTGTGGGTAAGTAGCATAAAGCTGCGAAATTAACAGGGGGAAAAAATGACGGAATCTTAAAATTCTCATAGGTTTTAAAAGGTTAAGAATCACAATTAAGTGGCCAACTCAAGCTTCAAAACATTAAGGTGTGAGAAAGCAGGGGTGCAGGGGTGTACATGTGCAGATAGGAACCACAGCATGAGCCTGAGTTCTGTGTGAGAGAAGGTGCTGTCTCAACTGTGCTGGTACTACTTAATCACCAATATAACATAGCGTTATTGCCAATGCACTAAATGAATGCAGTTAATCTGTTATGCTGTTTTCTAGCAGACTTTCCTAACTCAAGCCTGACTTGAGTGTTCTGTGGTTGCATGAACTGATTGGATCAGGTTCCATGGCTGGCTCTAGATGGAGAAATGAAAAGTTAGTTTCCTTCTACAGCATATCACCTGTTACTGTTTTCTGTCCTGTCCTTTCCTTAATTTTTTTCTGGTGTAACTTAAAAGCCTTGCCTTATAAAGACTAAACTTACAAAGCATCATAAGGTTTCTGGCAGTTTATTATCACTGTTGAGTCCTTGCTAGTGTTTTTCTTTATGTGCTTTTTTTTTTCTTTAGATAAGGATCACTCTTTTTCCTCTGTTTGTACACCATCAACCATAGTAGAGTTTCAGTCTGTGGCTTTGTTTCCTATATACTGCTGAAAGATCTACAGCTGTGGTTTTGTATAATCTTTAAGTTCTATAGCTTTCTAATCTGTGGGTTTTTGGGTCTGTGCTAATACCATTTTGGGTGGCTGTTGTGTTCTTCCCACTCCTCAGGATGCACATGATGGGGAGGTGAATGCAGTGCAGTTCAGCCCTGGCTCCCGGTTACTAGCAACAGGAGGCATGGACCGGAGGGTTAAACTTTGGGAAGTCTTGGGAGGTAACTTTTTTGCTTTGGGGTATGGTGGGATGCTAAACAAACTCATGTTATAGTTCACTTTGTGTCAGCTTTTGTTCTAATCCATTGCTTAAGTTTTGTTCATCTTTCTCTGTGCAGATAGGTGTGAGCCTAAAGGTTCCCTCTCTGGTAGTAATGCTGGGATTACAAGCATAGAATTTGATAGTGCTGTGAGTATCTGTGCAATATCCACTGTTTGTGATTGGGAATAAATTAATTGAATTATGTTGTGTTCTGTTACCAATTTCCATTCTAGCACTTTGAAAAATTACCTAAGAAATGACTTAAAACACTTGTGAGAATAACTGCAAATAGTTAAAAATTGTACCAATGATCTTTATTTGATATGTTGAATTCTGTAATTCTCATCTTTGCTTTACAATTCAGAAGATGATACGCAGCTCAGACATTGAATGTTATGGGCTATTATGATAAAATTATAATAAAATACGCTAGGTTTTGTCCAAAGTAAGAAATTAATTTTCAGCTTCCCACTAAAGCTGGCATAACAGCACAAGAGAAGCAAATACACTGAGGCTTTATTTTTGTGAACTTTATTTCCATAAGTGCTGTGTTGAGGTCTGTGATGAATAGTAAAAGGTATGATTATCCTAAGACTTGCACTTCCATGACCTTTTCTCCCAGCAGTTTCTCGCCAGTCCTGGCACAGTAGTGGCGTGGCTGGCAGAGTGTTTGCTGACAGCTTGTGATGTGCTCAGTTCATGTTCACCTGAAGTATCAGAGACATGACTAGGATCAGCATCCAACAGTCCTACTTGAAGGAGTTTGGGGTCTTGGACTGTTAGAACTGGATTTGTGATCTGACTTTTCTGCTGAGACCTCGCCCATAACACAGTGCTTTATTGCACAGACAATAGACCAAAGCTGACGTTTCTTCCATTTCATGATTCTATGAGCTAAACTCTATTGATACACACCTAAAAGGATCCTTCCTTTGGACACTGACCAACTTGTTAGAGATTTGCTGGTCTTGTTAGTTTGCAGGAGAAACTAGTTCTGATTTTGATAAGTTGCTTGAACACATTTGAGGTGAGAACTGCCTGAGGTGAGATTTTAATGGGCTTTAAGGATTCGGGGAAGTATTTTGAGTTGGACAGGAGTGCAAGCATGAATCTTGTGGTGTCCATTCTTCATCATGGGTGACTTGAAAGGGCCCTAAGCCTAAAGCAGTGAACAAGTCAATTTATCTCCTTGGACAGATTTAGTTTTTGGAATCTTAGTTTAAAATGTTAGAGTTGTAATGCGAATTGCAAGGATTGGGCTAATTCTACTCTTAGGCCAGTCTAAGCAGTAGATGATGCAGGGCTTTTTGCCTGTGAAAAATTAAAACAGAAACAAAACCAAAACCACCACAAAACAAAACGCAATAGATGAGGGTAAACTAGAACTCGATGCCTCACTTCAGCAGCTGGAGGTAGAAGGGAAAGGAGAACATCCTTTCTGATCTGGTTATTGTTACTCCTTTCATCTGTAGTCATGATTCTACAAATCATTGTCACGTTTTGACGAGAAGAAAAAGCCATAGCCTTTTTGAAAGCTGTTACACTAGTTTTCCTTACTGGTATGTGCCGTTGGGTTTTGGGGTTTTGTTTTGTGTATTTCCTCTTGGCAGTATAACACTAATACAGTTTTACTGATTTATTAGATATTAGAAATACTTTTGAGTTTAATTTGTGTACTGACTTGCAGAAGTAGTTTTAAACTAATCTTGTGTTCGCAGGGTTCTTACCTCTTGGCAGCTTCAAATGACTTTGCCAGCAGAATCTGGACGGTTGATGACAATCGATTACGGGTGAGTCTCTTGAAGGCAAAGCAGTGCTCAGGCTGTTTCTGGCCTGTATTTCCAGTTTTGTCTAATGGGATATGGCAGTTTTGAAACTTGCATGTTTACAGGTGCTTTCAATAATTCTTTTTTTAACAGGATCTTTATTAAGGGTCTTCACAGCAAGACCTAAAATACAGTATTGGTCTCTGCACAGCCCTGCAGGAAACTTTGGTTACTGCGTATTTTCACAATACAGCCCCCCCTGCCACTAGCAACCCCTTGCCATGTAAACCCAGTACACTTTTGCATCCCTCTCTCTGGAAATCTAAGTGCTGCTTATGGTTTATGGAGATCCACTTCAATGTTTTAATCTCAATCCAACGAGAGGTCCGCTGAAGAAGGGTTTGCAGAAGACGGGGATTTTTTTTGTTTTAAGTCAGGAGCAGCGTTCTTGAAAAGGAGTCCTTTCCCTAGCTGTTAAAAGGCAGCAAGCCTAAAAGTGCTTGACTTTATTCCTAATGTCTTTGAAAGATTCCTCCTCTCCTCCCAACTTCTTTGTACTCACGTTCTTCTGGAGAAGGTTCTAATTTAAGGAGGATTCACCTTTGACCAAAATAAGTTTCTTCAGCTTTCTAAGAGTATTTTTTCTTGTCATTCCTATGCACACTTTTCATCAACTTTAGGAAGATGCTACTTTGTTCTGAAACTTCTGAGGTTTCACATCAGTTATAACCTATGGTTGCATTGTAATTCACTGGGTAGTTCTCAATGTGGAGATGTCACATCTCATTTAGGAAAGGGAAGAATATCAGTTCTTTTGCAGCTTTTGTTTGGCTGCCAAACCTAGTATTGGATGTGAATTATAGTGAATAAAAGTTTAACAGACCATAGAGTAATCCTACAAAATGTTAGTTACCTCTGCAAACATCCACCTGGCTTCACAGTATCTTCCTGTAATTTTTTGGTGCCCTTGGTGACTACCAGCTTTGGCTGAGTGTATTCACTGTTCGCTGAGATAAACTAGTGCGTTGTTTGTTTTGAGTGGGTGTGGTACAGATTTGTCATGGCTTGCATGTAAGCAGGAGGCAGTGAAGCTGAAATCGTAAATTTTGCCACAAACTCCCTACTTAAATGCAAACATCTGTACCTAATGACTGTGTAGCAAGAGCAGGAGAGATCCAGAGTGAAAGTTTAGATCCTCCTTTCTTAAGATGAAGAGGTCTTTATGGGATGACTTGTTCTTTCAGAGTTTGTGTTGTGTCAGGTTTGCTTTTTTCCCCAAACTTAGCTCCCATTCCTTTCCATTTTTAAGGTGATTTTTTTATTTCCTGAGCCCAGATTGCTTTGTGTAATTTGATAGTCCTTTGAGTGTTTAAAAAAAAAAAAAATCTACTATATACCAATGGTTGCTGTCTTTTTTTTTTTCCACAAGTCTTACTTCAGTCATTCATTATCTGTTTTGCAATTTAGTATGTAAATATTCAGCAATTTGAAGTGAATATGGTTCGTGTTCTTCTCAGCCCCACAGACCCTCCCCCTGCAGTTACACAAGCTGCTGCAGGGAGTTTTTCTGAAATCTCTGGTTGTCGCAGCTTTCAGGCTTGAAGATATAACAACAGTTGAGATTAGATATCCTGTTGTATCCTTGAGAGAAGCTCACAATAAAAACCTGAAGGCACAATTTCCATTTTCAGCATGCTTTAACCCCTTTTCCTCATTGCTCCTGTAAGGCTGTGTTGCAGTTGCCATCTGTCTGTGAAACGGAGGTGTTTGGAGTGTTGAGGAAGAGAGCTCGCAGGTTCCCTGAGTAGCTAGAGAAACTGCAGCAAAGGTGACCTGTGTCTCCCAGCTTCAGGCTGAGCTCTATGGTACTTAACTCTCCTGCTCAGTGTTAAATCTGTTTAACTAGAATAGATACTTTTTTCTCCAAGCAATGCAGTAGACGGGCAAATTATGATTTAAGATTCTTTGAGTTGTTAAATAGCAGTAGTAGTAAGCTACAAGGAAAGGGAGCAAGTGGAACTGTGAAATTTTACCATGTAAATCTCTCATCCTCAGCACACCCTGACAGGTCACAGTGGTAAAGTTCTGTCGGCCAAGTTCTTGCTGGACAATGCACGCATTGTTTCGGGAAGTCATGACCGGACCCTCAAGCTCTGGGACCTCCGCAGCAAAGTTTGTAAGGAAACCTAACTTCTGCCTTTCATCCCTGTTCTGTGCTTCTACTGAATGTCAATGCAAGTCTGACATCAGCCAGATTATTTCATCATCTTGCTTGTCTAAATAAGCAAAAAATAGCAGCTATACCATCTTCTGTTGTTATTCAAGTAATTGGATTCTTTCTGCCTGTTACCTGAAATAAGAATAAGAAATCATGTGTATGCAGGAAGCACTGTTAATGCTATTACATTAACAGCAGCTGTGTTCTGTGAGTGTTCTTTGTTTACCAGTCTGGGGGTGGGTATTTTAGTCTTGCACTAAAAACTTGGAGCTAGGTCAGAGTTTTTAACCCTGAGGTGGATGGAAATGTCTCTTGGATATATACCAAAACTGTCAACGTCTCAAATGAAGGAAATGCTAGGATCCAGATTTTTCTTTGGGAGAAACACCTTATTTCCTTGGCTTCTCTCCTATTGATGGCTCTTAAACCTGTTTGCACTGAGAGGGAAGTTGAGATTCAATGTTACTGGAAACGTCTCTTGGAAATGTACCAAAAATTTTAACATCTCAAATGAAGGAAATGCTAGGATCCAGATTTTAATTTGGGAGAAGCACTTTTTCCTTGGCTTCTCTCTTACTGATGGCTCCTAGACCTGCCTGCACTGAGAGAGAAGTTGAGATTCAAGGTGACCTTGATACCTGGACCACAAACATAGGTCAAGGAGACAGTTTCATGTTGTTTAACAGTAGCAAATTGTATCTGTCTAAATGCCAAGTGGAAGTAAAGCAGCTGTCATGGGAGCATTTAAAGGGATATTAGCCACAGCAAAGGAGATTGAGAAGGGCAGAGAGGTTGTTGAAGACTTAAGTCAGGATTATTCTAAGACAGAGTTTGTCTGCCCTGTGGCACTCCTTGGACACTGCTCTGTGGGTGTGGTATAGTGATTATTTTCTGTCTCTGTTTTCATCAGTTTGTACAGTATAAGTTTCAGTGTGTCACTATTGGTTTATCCTTTTTAGGTATAAAAACAGTGTTTGCAGGATCTAGCTGCAATGACATCGTATGTACTGAGCAATGTGTAATGAGTGGACACTTTGATAAGAAAATTCGTTTCTGGGACATCAGGTAAAACTATTGAAAGAGAGAGCTTATAGTATAGGAATGGTTATGGGATTGCTGTGCAAGTATAATCTGAACTAGGGAGCTCTTCTTCCTGAGCTTGGAAGCTAATGAGACTGTTACAAGACTTGCAGAAGGCTATTGAAAGAGAGTTTTATTACTACTTCTATGTTTGGTGGTTTGGGTTTGTTGTGGGGTGGTTTGGGATGCTGTTTCTTTTCTGAAAAGGCAGTCTCCTTTCTTGTAAATATTTTGTATTGGTCAGTACTTATCCATTCTAGACGTTGTTTAGTTTTTCAGAAGATGGGGCTGGAAATGTTATTCACAAAGTGAGATCTAGCTTGGGAAAGAATCAAAATGTGAGAATAATCCAGTAATCCTTTTTCTCCTCTTCTTCCACATTGGGACGTGTGGGACAAAGTTGTGATGCAGTGGTTTGGTTTCTGGACTGTGGTTTACTCTTCCTTTTTTCTTTGCTTTTTTCCTTTTTTTTTTTTTCTGTCTTTAGAACTGAAAGCATAGTAAAAGAGCTGGAGCTGCTTGGAAGAATCACAGCTCTGGACCTGAACTCAGAGCGAACAGAGCTTTTGACCTGTTCCCGTGATGATCTACTAAAGATCATCGATCTGCGGGTTAGTGCTGTCAAGCAGACATTCAGGTGAGTGTGTTCTCCACAAGAACGCTATGAATTTCAGAACTTTGGATTGCGGTGTGCCCTCAGTGTTGGAGTGTTTTTCAGTAGCTCCATGGAGAGAGCAGTCTCCAAACTTTTTTTTCTACATGGGTAGCAAAGCTCTCTAGAGTCTTAACAGCCAAGATCTGCTCTGGTGGATCTTTTCATGTACCTCTTGAAAGAAGATAGCTTGGCTCCAAAGTCTTTGGCCTAAAGGAAAGAATTTTTTAGATGTGATTGAGAGCAGGGTGTATGAGAAATGCAAATTGTGATAAAGAGATACTGGAGCTTATTCGATAGCTTGACTTCAAAGTCTTTGGCCTAAAGGAAAGAAATTTTAGATGTGATTGAGAGCAGGGTGTATGAGAAATGCAAATTGTGATAAAGAGATACTGGAGCTTATTCTGAACTGTGTAGAAATTCTTACCATGCTCTTTAGTGAGAACTTGGAAGTCCAAGTTCTTAGAAATTAATTTACAGTTATCTGATTCTAAACTTTTCAGTGCCCAGGGATTCAAATGTGGCTCTGACTGGACGAGAGTTGTGTTCAGGTAAGGTCAGATATAAGCAAGGTATGAGAAATCTTTCCCCAGCAAAAGTGATTCCTGATGCTTGGTTGCACTGTCCTCCTTTACAGCTAGAAAAAACTGGGGCAGAGTTTGTGATTTGCCCAAGGTCGCCTCTTGGTCAAGACAGTATATCTGTAGATGTTGATCTAATGTCTTGGAAACTCTGATCTTGAAGTGCTTTCACCTCTTGGTGTTAGCAGCTGGTAACACAACTCTTAAAAGGCTAATGCTGAATTGCTCTCTTAGGAAGTTGCGGGTGGAATGATGATGTGTGCTGATAAATTGCTGACTTAAAAATTGTTCTCTGCCTTCTGCACCTTCTCTGATGTCATAGCCCTGATGGTAACTATGTGGCTGCTGGTTCAGCTGATGGGGCCCTCTACATTTGGAATGTGCTCACTGGGAAATTGGAGAGGACGCTTGCAAAGCATCACAGGTGAGGGGAAGCTGGCCATATAAATAACCCATATAAAGGGATTGTGAATCTTGCTGAGCTATGGAAGAACTGTAGTTGTACAGCTTTGCAACTTATATTGGTGTGTGAGAATTTTTGATATGCAGATTCTTTGTGGATTCATGGCGGTATTCTCTAGATTTAATTAAGGTTAGATTTATTACTGTTATTGAGATATGATTCTAATAAAGTACACTTAATATATTCTGAAGAAGCTGTATCTCTCATAGGCTTATTAAAAGCCCAAGTCTTTTGAGAGCTGAGAAAGTGCTTTTCCTTGATAGTCAGAGAACTATAATATTTCATTCCAGTGTTAAGTGCTGTTGTGGAATTCGGCTTTTTTGTAAACTTCTACCTGGCTTCCGTTTCAGTTCTTCTATCAATGCAGTCGCATGGTCACCAGCGGGTGCCCATGTGGTCAGTGTGGACAAAGGAAACAAGGCTGTCCTGTGGTCTGAATTTTGACTGGACGGAGGGTGAAAGGCAGAGCGTCCACTGCCTCTGTGTGTGGTGGTGCTGGTCCGTGGCTGAACAGAATGGAGACCCGAGCCCAGATCCATCCTGAGTTGGGATATTAACAAGCGCATGGGCTTCACTTTCCAGAGGAAAGTTCTAAAGCAATGGAGAAGGAGCCTGAGTCAGAGACTTCTTATGGCCGTAACTGCACTGTGGCACTCGGACTCAGCAAGGGATTAGCTGTTCTGGATGGAGAATGCTACTTAGTCATGCCTTTACATGCAGTATCTATGCACCAAGTGGAGCTGAAGATACTAGCGGGATTCCTCACCAGACAGCTGTGCCAAATACTCTGTCACACAAATGTATCTACAGCACTTCTGAGTTGGAAATGTTGGAAAGAAGTTACTGTGTATGCTGACTTATTACATGTCCCGTCTCCTGTGTTCTGTTCTTGTGGCCTAGTTCAGGCATGGGGTGAGAAGATCCTGAAACGTGGACAGGTCCTAGGTAGTCTGAAGTGTTGGAACAGCTTTTAAAGCGAGTCTCCTGTGGCTCTGGCAGCTCTGCCTTTGAGTTATCAGCTCAATTCAGATCTGCTCTGATCCTGACGCAGGTTTTCCAGCACTGTCACGTGAACTCTTTGTATCAGTTTCACTGGTTCTTAAGGCAATGGTCCGTTCTTCAGGACTTCTGCACCCTTTTGTTAAGACGCCCTTCAACAGCTTGGGTATCACAAAATAGGAGATTTTTAATCTTTTTTTATTCCACAGGCAGTTTGGTTACTGGGCGTGAGGAGGCAGAAGTTCAACTTCTGTTGTGCTGCTGTGATAAGGAATGTAGTCGTACTGTGACTTCAGCACCAGAATCTAGATGGTTGGTCCCTTTTTCTGTTCATCCGTCCCATCCTGGCGGCTGTCAGTAGAACAGGGGAGCAGTGGGGTTAAATCCCAAATCCAATGTTTTGGTGCTGGCAATTCCAGGCCATTTGCCCCCTTCTTGAGCACACGTGCAATATTCCTGTTTGCGCTGGAGCCCTCTGTGCTACGGAGCAGTGTCTTGGCTCTGTCCCTGTTTAAGCATCCAAAACCATGATGTGTCTGGGTGAGCTACCTGGCATAACTTTATCCAGCCAAACCTTTCCACATCGTCTGGGCCTCAAGACAAGCCACCAGCGTTTTATTGCCTTTTCATTTGCACTTTATTTTCTTCTTTCCTGATAGTGTTTTACTAAGGAAGTGTGTTCTTTGGAGGGGCTGGGTTAGGGGGCAGCTGCTCTAACAGGCATCTCTCTAACCTAGCCTTTTGTTCAGACACTTTCTGCAGTGGGGAATTAGAGTATATGGGGCAAAGTTTTTATTTATTCAGCTGCCCGTAAGAACTTGATTGTAAATAAACCTGTGTTCTGCTTTTAAAACCCCACAGTGCTCTGATTCATTTATTTGTGTGTCTGTGTGTGAGCTCTTGTTCCGAATAAGCGAAGAGGGGAACCTGAAATGTGTTTTTCTGTGCTGTGTTTTCCTGAGGAATTGTGGATTTGTGTTCAGCCGCATTGTGGGATTTAGTGTAGAGGGGGAAAGAGGATAATGCTCTTAGCTTGAAGCTGGACATCCTGCAGATACAACCTGGTCTTGCCCTGTTTTAGGAGTACTGTCTTGAGACTGAAGGAAGTCTTACCATGTTGAACAAGTGCCTCTTTTCTTGGAAGGCTGATGTATTCTTGGATGTTTTGGATAAACTACTGAGTTGAGGAAATTAGTATCTGTATTTCAGACACTGCTGAAAATTGAAGGCTTTTTCTGCTGTGATACTTTGACTGCTAGCTTGTTAAGTTTTTAAGCCAGTAATGAGTTGCACGTTTCTTTAAAAACATGAAAACCTTTGTTGAACCCTTGCTGTGGTTCCTACTTCAGAGTAATGAAGCAAAGCCTTCAGCTCTTTAATCTACAAATTTCATACATAGCTAAGAGCCATCACTGACCACCCTCCTGTTTTCATAAGGAAGGAATCCTTCTGTCCAGCTCTTGGAAGTGAGAACTGTAGCAGAAATGAAAAGATTCACATTGGCATTCTGAAGCATTTCTAAAGGCAAGATATTTTTTCTTCTGCCTGTTGCTATGGCAGAAGGGCCTTCTTGAAAAGGCACCTACCAAGAGTGCAAGTGACCTTGGTTACTGCAGAAAAGCAGATCGCTGAATGACAAGTCAGCATGATGAAAGATTATTGGGAGATTAACGTAATAAAAACTCTGCAGGCTCTGCTGAGGAGGATCAGAATGGGTTTAGGATGTTTATAATTTAGGCTGTTAGACTTGTATTTTTCTACAACATGGACACAGATCTTACACAAAGGGCTTTGTTTTGCTGGTTGATGCTGTTACAAAGTAGGTTAATAATACTCGAGGATAATGGCTAGTTAGCTAATACCTTAAGCATTTTAGATTAAAATTCCTTAGGACTAAGTTATGTAGGAGATTCTAGTGACCAGTTTTAGCTTTTTTTCTATATTTTATTTGTTTACTTTTATTGCCCCCTTTTCTACTGCAACCTGCAGAGGGAAGAAGAGAAAATTAAGGTGATGGCTGTTGCAGTGTTTCTCTGCTAAAGGTGGAGCTGCCCTTCAGGTGGTTTGGAGGGGGTGGGTGGGCATCTTTCTCTGGACATAAGGGCATGTTGGGAAGCATGTTACAGAGAAGCTGCTTCCGAGCTCCTCTGAAGATGTTTGCAATGGTGCATGTACCTACACCTCCTGGGCCCTCAGAGGAGTAGCAGGTACAAGAAGAAAGCTCATTAGTCTCCTGAAGGACTAGTAATTTTGCAGTGGCAGTAGTACGAACTCTTAACAAAACCATCTTTCTCTGTTTTGCACTGTGTGACAATAGAATGCGTTGATTTTGTGGGTTAATTTCCGAGGTCTCTTCCCTACTTCCTACAACCAGGATCTGGCTTTCCTTCAGGAACACAGGCATGTGAGTTTCTGTGGTTTAGGGCTGGCTGGTTTGTGTTTGCCAGTGTTGATTAAACAGAGTAGTGATTAAGCTCTCTAAATAATCCACCTCCAGTTAATAAAACGTTGCTGGAATTTGGAAAACACTGAAAGAGCTGAGGAACACTGGTTCTGTGTTCTTTTTTTTTTTTTTTGGAATAATTTGTGTACCCAGGCCACTATATTCAGGCAAATGTTGGTGATTGTTTGCAAAAAGCAAGCTGATTTGTGACTGCAAGATTGCCTGAGATGGAGGGTGCTGTTCAGACTGGCGAGTGGAGAGGATATCATGTGATCTTTCTAATAAAGCTAACAGATGTAGCCCAGAGGAAAGCTACAGCTGTTTATGCAGCTTGCAAGCCAAAAATTACACAGATTTTTGTGCATAATATCAAGACCGAATTCATGGCGGGGGGGAGCAGCTATTCTTGGGATATTCATGAACAGAAAAGCTAAATTGATTGAAATATCTGTTAATATGTCTTAAATCTTAGATGTTGTGCCTCACTCTGTAAGTAAATTAAGGAGGGGAGGTGTACTAGCGAGCAACATGTTGTTTTGCATCAGCATGCCAATGGGATGTTGGTGGAGCAATAACAGACAAACTGCTTGGTGATTATGAAAATAATACATTGTTCTCAATGTTTGGTAGTCTTTCATAATGGCATCTATTTATAGAGACTTGGTTTGGTGTTTTACATACTCCCTCTTTCATAAATGGCTCTTGTCTGTTCAGCTTCTTATCAGGCTAGATGGCTTGCAGCCTTAGGAAGGAGAAGATGGAGAAAGAGCTTAATAATAAAGCTGCTTTCAGTAACCATCCTGTTCTATGTAAGTCTGTAGTCCTTACAAAGTGCGCGAGTATGACATTGTACACCTTTTCACTGACGATCTGAGCTTCCTTAGGTAATGCTTTATATTGCTGACTTAACCACTTTCCAGTTGAATCTTACCCCAGGTACAATATTTGCTCTTGGAGGGGGATTAATTCTTGAAATCCTGGATGGACGCAACTAGATACGTGCTTCCAAATCCCCTACAAATTGTCTTCCTTGTTTGCTAAGAGGTTAGTGATTTCCTCTGGTAGACACGAAGAAGCGTAGGACACGGCTGTGTGGGAAATTCTTCTGTCTTCAGTGGTGTAGGAGTTCACGTCTTTGTCCTGTGGCAGCTCCTGTGGTGTTTGGAACACAGCAAGGTATTTAATGTTATTTGCTGGTTTATTTGGGTCTACAGCATGAGTAGGGTGTGTGTTCAGCAACAAATAATATCCTGGACTTGGAAAACTTACCTGTGGTTCATAAAAACAGAAATGCTTAAACATGTGTAAGGTCTGTCTAATCTCTACCTTACACTTTTTCCAGCTTTCTAAGAAGGGAAATACTTCCTTTTTTTACTGTCTGTTGCGTGCAAATAGGCCCTAGAAACTGCTTCTACCCTTGAAATAGTTTTAAAATGGGAAAGCAAGCAGAAAAATAGAATGGATGAGAACTGCAAGGACAGTCATATACTGTCACACCAGTGGTCTAATGCAGTATGCTCATTCACACAGGTCCAATAGGGAGAAGTGTAAGAATAGGGCACCTGCAGCGTCGTCCTTTCCTGATGCTGCTCCTCAGCTTCAGGCTTTTACAGGGTGAAGGTTGCACCTGGATCATCCTGTCTGACATCTGCCAAAAGCCTTTTCCCTGTGAACACGTCTAATCCTTTGAATCGATTCATATCGGTGACTTCCAGAGCCTTCTGCAGCAACGTGCTGTACTGCTGAATCTTGCGTTAGATTGGGAAATGCTTCACTTTATTTTTAATTTGCTGTCTGATCGTTTAATTGGATGCTGCTTTTTTGTGACTTACGACAAAGTGAAAAACTAATCTCTCTTCGCTTTGTACCACTTGGGTTTTCTGGACGTCTCTTGTGTCCTTTTGGTCCCTTTTTTTAATTTTTGTTTTTTTTCTGTCCTCTTGAAGAATCTCATTCTATCTGTTTTTTCCTTGGGTACAAGCTGTTTCCTACTCCTGGTTATACTTGTTACCTTTCTGGGTTGGTGACTGGACTGTTAGATTCTTAAGGTCCATTCTGTTTTGAGTTCAGTGATACCCTGTAAGTAATGGGTTGCATTTGGTTCTGATTTAGGAAAATACGGTAGGACAGATGAGTTCTCGTTTTGGGTTTGATCTGACTCCTTAGCAATACATACCACCTTTCTAGGTCTTAGGCTGAGCGTGCTGTATCCAAGATGCGGATATGTAAGGGGTTCTGAAATTGCATAAATGGCATTGTCTTATGTTCTTGATTTATTTTCTAATAACTTCTCTGCTTATGTCAAGGCATTCTTCCTAAGTGATAACAAGTAGAACTGTGCATGTCAGACTATAGTTGTATTTTTTTCAAGTGCAATGCTTTTCACTTACTGTGATGAAATATATGGTATTTCATGACCTATCCAGCCTGCATTGTGAAGCAGTCATCCAACCTAACGTAGACAGTTTTATTTTTGGGAATCCAGAATAGCTGTGTGTCTGTGGGCAGGCTGTTCACTCCTTATCTAGGTTTCCTTCCATTCATTCAAGGATATTCTTTATAGCAAATTTCCCAGGACAGATGATGCTGTGCTGTTTTATACTTGCAATGGTAAAAAACCCCCAAAAGTCCAGAAAGTAACCAAGCCCCATCATGTATTGATATTCTTTATTTCTTACACTTTATTTCATTAATAATGAGATTACCTTCCTTCTTATCTCATGACAATTTAAAGCCTCTGATGACAAATCTAGAGACACAGTTTTAAAATTGAGGTACCTTGTGTTGATCAGATTACCTTTACCTGTACTCTGGCAGATTTCTTCAAAAATTACTCTCCACAAACCTCTCTGCAAAAGCCAAGCTATCCCTTCCCCTCCAGATTTTTCTATTAGTCTACTAATTTTTTGATATGAATTAAAAGGAGGTTTTGGTCTTTTGTAATAGTTCTGAAGAGCTGTTTTTAAATAAATGTGGGGGGAGGTTTAATGAAAAACTGCTAAAATGAAAAGAAACCCACATTCTGTGCTGTGCCTGGGTATCTGCTGAAATAGTCTTTTATAAACTATACATGGGAGTAGAATGCTTTACCCACCAGGTATAATTCCACTCTTATTTCCACCTTTTTTTTTTTCCTGATATTTTTCCCAGGACGTTTTGGAGCTGAAAAGCTTCATTCACCCACAGTCACATACCTATCTTTGGCCATGAGCTGCCCTGAGTCACAAAAGACAGGGATGAGTGGGAAGAATGCTGGTTCTCCTCATAAACAAGTTATCTTCAAAAAAAGCACCCGTGACAAAGCTGTAAGTACCATAATAATGGGTTTATATGGGGGGTGAGTTTTACTTGCAGTCAGTTTGGAGACTTATTAGAAAGCTCTTTCCTGTCCCCTTCATTTTCTGCTGAAGAAGGA